TCGTACTTGTTCTTGTCAAATCATCAATAGGATATTCATTATGATGATAATTGGATTGTTGGGCAATATGTTGAAGCCGTGGTGATTGTGTTATGGGATGCTTTCGTACATCACCCGGACCTTGTATATTTGGCTGTGATGAACCTGATCCAATAACAGGAGTTGATGGTTGACGTCGTAAATCTCCCGGACCAGAAGTAAATGGTCTTTGAAAATCTTGTGAAGAACCACCCTCAAGTGCTCGTAGAGAATTTTGTCTGTGTGCTTGAATTTCTTGAATTTCTTGATGTTGAACATTTGTAAGAGGTGATGAGCTAGTCTCAGGAACTTGCGAGCTCGAGTCAATAGGTTGATCATCAGGTATAGAAGGCCGAGACTTTTCCATCGAATCATATTCAGATTTTTGATTATTTAGTTGAGAAACAGTTGTTGGAGATATAAATGACTCATCTTTAACAGATTCAGATGTTTATTGATTTTATTTATTTATTTTTACTGCAATCTGAACTAAACTTTATTCACTCATTAAAGTTTTCACAATATTTAAATAAAAAAAAACGATAATATTTTGAATACGCTAGATACTAATATACACTTGGGTAAAAGTTCAATGATCAAATTTTTCGTATGGTTAAGGAAAATTTTGTGTTGTTTTTTCCTGTGATAAAGTTGGCTTTTGTAAAATTTTATTGTAGTTTAAATTCCGTGTTTTAATGCGCTTAAAAATAAAAAATTTATCTAGTGACAATTACTGGATTCATGATATAATTAGTCCAGGGTTGACCAAAAAATATTTGGTTCGTAAATAGAATATTTTTGTTACATCTAAACCTTTGTTTTAAATAATGGTTATCAAAGGGAATGATATTTTTACATCTCTTTAGTAAACTATTTATCAAAAGCTACTATATTGAAATTTGTTTTTTAGCCTTATTAAAGATATATATCTCAACATTTATCTAATTAAAGTCAATAAACTTTTTTTTATCTAAATTTTACTAATTTTATAATTAAAATAAATAAAGTATTACATTATATTTTTAATTAAAAATTTTGTAAAATTTCAAGAGAATTACTATTTGTATTCATTCAGTGGGTATAATATCCGATATAAGAAAAAAATCAAAAATTATTAATATCTCAAAATTTTATTAAGAAAACCATATATAAATATTTTAAATAAATTGTTTAGTATTTAATTTTACATATAACTACCCATGTTTTTTTTTATATAATTTGGCTATCCTGCCTCTGTTTATTGAGATTAAGTTATTTGACAAATTACAAAAATTTCTCTCTATAACCATACTAATTTACTAAAACAGAAGATGTACCTGGCTGACACCCAGGTGTTATTTGCCATAGTAGCAGTTGGCTTTTCTCAAGATTCTTAATTTACTAAGGATTTAAATACTTACTATAGTGTATTAACCAAAGTACCTGGGGTTCAATACAATTTAATCAAAAAAAACTTATAAAGTATCTGTAGACAGGGTTGTAAATAGATAATTAGACAATAATTTTTTTAATTAGACTGTTTATTTACAACCCTGCCTGTGGATATCTTGATTGATAATGGGTATCTTGTATAGATGATACTTTGTATGGTCTTATATATATAATACAGAAATCAATATGTATTAATGTAAAAACACTTTTACTAAAATGCATCTATGGTGTTTTACCACCTATATTGTATTATCTCAAAAAACTGGCTAATTAATTGATGTAAGGTGTTCTAAGTAAAAATGTTCTATGCCTCAAAAAACCCCTTCCCAAACCCTAATCCTAACCTTAATATTAACTTTTACGTAAAAAATTTGATGTTAAAAATTTTATATACAAAACTTATAAAAACTTAGAAA